GTGGCTTTGGCTGCCACCCCTTTCAGTTATGTCAGTCTTGTCTCGCTGCATGGGCTTCCCTTTCAGTGAGAGACGCTTACTGAGTAAGCTGCCCAAGGAGCTGAAATCAGTGGATTGGTCCCTTGATTGGCCTGGATGTAGTTCAAAGTCATACCAAATAACTTATCCTCATTAAATAAGGTTTATATCTTCACCGTTGCTGCCAGTTGTTAGAAGAGAAGAGAGCTTTGGTATGTTATGAAATAAAACATCCTTCACTTATATGAGTGATGATTTCCTCCCTTTCCCATTGTAATCCCTTCCACGTTGGGGTAGCTGTCATATCCCAACACTCACAGAACACCCCTTAAGCCTTCTCATTTCTGGTTCAACTTGAAAAAGCTGCTCTGTAGCTGTGTATAGTCACTGTACACCTTGGGCCTCCAAGTGACAGGTGTGGTCCACCTTGAGCTGAGCTTTCTGTGGGGCGATCGGGAGCAGTGCCTCTCTCTTTTTTTTTTTTTTTGCCTGTGCCTTGTGACTTGTGGGATTTTGGTTCCCTGACCAGGGATCGAATCTGGGCCCTTGGCAGTGAGAGCACAGAGTCCTAACCATTGGACAGCCAGGGAATTCCCAGCAGTGCCTCTCTAACTTGAGTGTGCATCAGTGGGAAGCTTTATTGAAAGTCCAGATTCTGAGATCATATTAAGAGAAGAATATTGGTCTAAGGGTCCGAATGGGGCTGCCATCCTGGCTCTCCTACTCACCCCATGACCTGGGCTAAAGTAGGTGATCTTACCAATTAAGTGGGTAGTACTGTAATGATTAAATGAGAACGCAAGTGTGTATGCAGAAATAGCTTGCAAACTGTCAAGAAAAACTGCAAAACATAATCATTTGTTGTCTAAAGCCCTGCCCTTTTCTGGACCAACACAGTACCAAGGCACTCTTTCAAAGGGCTAGGGTTCCATACTCTCCTTACTTCACTACTTTACCTTAGGGCAAGGGAAATTGGTCTTTAGCCTCAGCAGTAGCCAGAAGGAGAGGTCACTGCTTGAGATCCATAAACTTACTGAACATTTGCCAATCCAGAATGTAGAAAGAAGGACCCAAAAATCCCAGTGTTATAAATCCCCTTTTTTGATCTCAGGGTATTGGAAATTCTCATAATAGCAATACCACTTATTAGGAGGCAGTATTCATGAAGAGATTAAGAGCAGAGGATCTGGAATTGACCTGCCTGTGTGTGAATGCTGGCTCCAGCCCTTAGTATCTGTGTGACCTGTCAACAGACTTCCCCTCCCTATGTCTCAGTGTCCTCAACTGTAAGGTGGTGATAATAATAACAGTGCCACTTCCCAGGGCTGTTGAGAGCATTCAATGATGTGGCATAAGAAAAGCACTTAGAAAAGTATTTGGAGGGCACATGGTAAGTACTCAGTAAATGATGGCTGTATTTTTATGAAGCTTTTGCTGTGTGCCAGCCCTGCGCTAAGCAGTCTACATGGATTACTTAATCTTTACAAAACCCTTTGTGGTAGAACTGTTGTTATTCCCATTTTGTGGATGAGGAAACTGAGACTCAGAGGCATTAACTAACTTGCTCAAAGCTGTAGAGTTAGTGTAGAACCAGGACTTGAACTCCAGCCTCTCTGACTCAAGAATCTGTATTCTCTCACATATTACACTGTCTGGTAGTGTAAGCAGATGCGCGTTTCCCTGCTTTCCTTCCGAAGAAAGCAGTGAGAAAGTGGTCAGATGGCTGAGATTTTGGTTAACCTCCCAGGAAGGCCCTATGAGCACATTACCGTGTATCCTAAAAGCTGGATAACTTGATGATCAGGGATAGTGAACACTTTGGGAGGAGGTCTTTTCCATGTTGAATTGCATTAGGTTGAAGGTTCCATGCCCTTTGAGGCCACGGTAGCTTGCAGTGTGGCTGGCAAGTAGCTTTCAAGGCCAGAAGCACAGCTGAGTGTTCTAACTGAACACTTCTTAAAATGAAGACCGCGTTTTGCCACCCGCAGTCATGTGTATCCTTTCTTCACTCACCATTCTTTTAGTTAAAAAGGGTTAAAAGCTGTCCTTTATGATCACAGCCAGGACTTGAGTGAAAAGGCAGAATTCCACCTCCCAGGATCCCAGAGGGGCAGCAGTTGTCCAGAAGAGCTGGGGTTTGGAGTATAATGTGTCTGTTTACTGTATGAACACCCAAGCCAAGAGTTTGCCTGTCGCCGGCTGCCTGACCTTCAGAAGTTGCTCTGACATGCAGGAAGTCATGACTCTTCAGCAACTAACTTGATGCCCACTGGATGGAATGCTTTGTTCCTGAAGTCTGCAGGGGAAACTCAGGGCTTCTGCTATCACTCAGCCAAAAGGGGGCCAGGGGGAGGCTAAAAAAATGCCCTGAAGGCTCCTCTTTTACCTTTTGGATTCCTTTTGACTTGCATGCAGCCTAAAATGCTGCTGTCCTTGATCTCCTGATCCTGGTACTCAGGTTCTTAAAATCAAGGCCTTTCAGAAAAAGCTAGCCCCCAAATCCTCATGCCTGCACACCCCCAGCATGCATTTATGGAGCATCCTTGGTGTTCCCAGGCAGGAGGTTAGCCTCTCACATTTATCTTCATGTCCAGCCCTTGCGGCTTTTTTTACACACAAGGAAACAGGCTGAGGGGCTACGGGATTCGTACAAGGGGGCACAGCTGGTCAGTGGGACCCAGCTGTGTCCGCTCCAGCTCCAGTGCTTCCTCCTCCTCTCCCCCCAGTGCCCCCTCTTCCTCTCCATTCTTGTCACCCCCTTACCCTGATCTCCTTGGTGTGGCCCCGCTCCGTGCTGTGCGTGGCTAGCAGCATTTCCCAACCTCCATTGACATTTTAGGCTGGATAACTTCTTTATTGTGGGCGCCTGTCCTGTACATTGTAGGATATTTAGCAGCATCTGTGGCGTTTATCCTCTAGATGCTGCCAGTACCACCAATCACAACCAAAATGTCATCATGCATTGCCAAATGCCCCCCAATCTTCAACTGAGGCCAGTCTTCAATGAAGGAGAAAAATCATCCCTCATTGGGATGACTTTTAGCTTTATTCTTAGCCTTATTCTTCCTGTTCACCATTCTTCCCCGAGAAAGAGGTCAGCGTGTTGGTGGTGAGCCCCATGACATGGAGTCCTCTGGAATACTTAGTCATTTGCTCTTTCATCCCAGCCAGAGTTCCCTAAAGCAGTGCCTGTAGCTGTGATGAGCTGGTCAAACTTACAAAAGTTCCTCAGGCTCTGGTGCCCAGGGTCTGAGTGAAAAAAGCCCTTATCCCTTCTCAGTGCTCTCAGAACAGGCCCAAGAGGATGGGGCTGGGTCTTCAGTGCTTCCCTGGGAAGAATCCTCTGTCCTGTACTTGCAGAGAGACAGGAGTGCTGGGCTTGGAGTAGGGCCTTCCTGTGAGGTATAGAGATGCTGCTCCTTTCAGATGGATTCCCGTGGCTTCTGCAGGAAATCCTGCATCTTTTCTAGGGCAGCTGATTCCCTTAGCATGTGGAGGGGGAGGGCAAGGCCTCAGTTGAAGATTGGGTGAAAGCTGTGGTCCTTCACTCCAGAAACGTACACTTTGCCTGTAGTTTCAGGGGTTCACAGATACCAAAGGTTGGCCATCCCTCCCATCCATTTGCAGGTTAGGGACCCTTGCTTTATGCTTACACTTATCCTTGGGGTTGAACTGGAGAGGGAGGGGTCTAGAGCTCCTCCTTTGCTTTTGGTGGGAATAACAGTCCACCCTTTCATTCTGGGCCCTAAACCCTAAGCTGGCTTGAGTAATATAATACAAGGTGAGGACGTAGTCAAGGAGATGAGCCTAGAGAGAAGCTGGGCCCTGTAAATAGGAAAGGAAGCGGGGTGGCAATTCGGGAGCTGACTCCTTCCCTGTTCCAGCCCAGCCTGAGGGCAGGGCCCAGCAGAGGGGAGGAAAGGGAGAAGAAAGCAAGTGGAGATGAGCAAGGGAGAAGTGACCCCCTTCTTTCCCAGCTGCAGCAGCCCAGCGGGTTAGATGAATGCTGGGAGGGGGGAGAGTGACCCTGGCAGAACCCTTTGTTCCAGCTGAGGCTGGAGCGGGGGCACTGAGCCATTCACACGCCATCCCAGGGCATCCTGCTGGGCACGCTGGGGAGGGAGCACAGCAGCCGGTCATGGGACTTGGCCAGGAAGATAGCTGGATGCTCAATAGGGAAGCCCAGCTGCGTGCTGTGGAGGCT